CTTTACACAATTGATGTGTGTATGGATTGGGATAACAGTTGTATGAGCCCCTAATAAAATGTTAAAAAAATAAATTAATTAATTAATTAGAAAAAAAAAAGAGTGTCATTGTGAAGTGGTATCTCAGTGTTGTTTTCATTTTAATCTTTTATAGCTAATGATCACAAGCATATCTTCATATGATTGTTGGCTGACTGGATGCTATCTCTAGTGTCTATTCATGTCTCCTGCTTGCTTTTTGTGTTTCTTACAGATTTTTTAAATGAGCCCTTTCTCCGACATATCACTGTCAATTTCTGTGTGTTCTCTTTTCACTCTTTTGATGAAGCCTATTGATGGACACACATGTTGTCTTTTTAGAAGGTCCCAGTCCTTATTTTGTCTTCTGGAGTGTGGTGTTTATTAGGACCCATATGTTTGTCCCCATTCTTTCATTTATTATCATTACGGTTACAGGTCTTTAATCCATCTTGAGTTCATGGTATGAGATATTGGTCCTGTTACATTCTTTTGTAAGTGGCGATACAATTTTTCCAGCACCATTTATTGAAAAGACTCTCCCTCAATTAATGTGTTTTTAGTCCTTTATAAAAAATCAGCTGTCTGAAGAGGCTTGACTATATTTCTGGGTTCTCTGTTCTAATCCACTGCTCTGTATCTCTAGCCTTGTACCAATACCAAGCTTTTTTGATGGTACCTTGTACCAATACCAAGCTACATACTAAGTTTTTAAATAGGACTGTGAACGGCCCCCTACTTTGTTTTTGTGATTATTCTGGCTTATTCCTTTTCCATCTGAAGTTGATGATCAGTTTTCAATTTCTTTGAGAAATTTTAGTGGGACTTAGTGTGGAATTGCACTGAATTTATAGGGTGCCGATTGACACCCCTATAGTGTCTTCTGATCCACGACCGTACAGGAGCATTCCGATGTCATTTTAGGTTTCTTGTAGAAGTATATTATAGTTGTATAGGTCTTTTGTGTCTGTTTAGATTTATTCCTAAGTATTTTATTGTAATTGATAGTGCTCTTTTCATTTCCTTTTTGAAGTCCTCTTTTTTAATATACAAGAATCTAATTGATTTTTGTATGTTGATCTTATATCCTGTTACATTGCCAACTTTTTCAATGAGTTTCAGCAATTTTAAAATTGAGTCCATGGGTTTTTCTAGCTATAGGATTATGTCATCTGCAAATAGAGTTTTTGGTTCTTCTTTGTCAATTTCAATGCCTTTAAAATCTTTTTGATCTCTTACAACTCTGCCTAATACTTCCAAGACTCTATTAAACAGGAGTGGTTTTAAACGGCAGCCTTTCTCGACTCTTTAAAATAGTGGTCTCGTACACTATTTATCCTTTCGTGATTGACTTATTTCCCTCAGCATAACGTCTTTCCAGCTTGTTGATGTTATGAAGTGTTTTGCAGATTCATCATTATTTTTAATGTTGCGTAATATTCCATTGTGTGGATGTTCCATAGTTGATTTATTCGTTCTTCTGTTGATTAGCTGCTTCCGTCTTTTTGCTATTTTTGTGACTCGTGTTGCACCGGACATGGGCTGCATATATCAATTTGGGCACGGCTCTCCTTTCTCTAGGCTATGTGCCTAGGAGTGGGATTGCTGGATCGCGGTATTTCTAGCTCCAACTTTTTAAGGAAGTGCCACGCTATTTTCCAGATGACGGCATCATTTTACAATCAGGACAGCAGTGTATGAGGGTTCTGTTTATTGAAACATCTCGATTGTTAGTCTGTCCGTTCTTGGAGCCCCTTTTTTTTTTTAAATTGAAAAATTCCTTCTTTTTTTATTCCTGGCACAGGTACCACAACTTACGGGGAAATATACTTGATGCGATGAAAAGGGAAAGACAACCACAACACAAAACTAGACCTCAGGAATGTACACCTATGTGACACCGCATCGCACTAATCAACAGCTGCACTGTTTTCGAACTGTGGCTGTAACCGTCCTGGACGAGAAGGGTTTCCCGTTGAAGCTGCGGTGACTTTTCTGACTATGGATCACTGCTCTTTCTGGGGCAGATTTTGATAGCTCCTCTCCTGGATTTGGGA